ACACACACACACACACACACACACACACACACATTATTTTCTTTGCACCATGGTTTGCCTGTTCATTTTTTTTAACCATAGGTTTTGAAGAGCAGTTTTAATTTTGACATCCAAATTGATCATTTTTTTCTTTAATTTAATGGTTTGATTTTTGTGACCTATTTTAAAAATATTGTGCACTCCAAAGTCTTAGGTATGTTTTTCTAGTAGTTTTATGGTTTTTTTTTTTAAAAAAATAAGTTTAAGTCTATGAACTACTTTAAGGTAAATTTCTGTATGGTTTGAATTAAGAGTCAGAGTTCAGTGTTTTCCCACCTGGATCTCCAACTGTTTCAACACCATTTTTTAAAGAGACTGTCTGTTCCCCTTTGAATACCTTGGCATATTTATTAAAAATAAATTGACCATGTTTGTGTGGGCTTTTTTTTTTTTACTCTCTTCTGTTCTATTAATCTTACATGCATCCATCTACCAATACCATACTATTTTGATTACTATAGCTTTATAACAAGTCTTGAAATTAGGTAGTAAAATTCTCCAAAAAGTTTCACATCTTCAAAGAAAAAGGCTAGTTTCATGCACTTAAATAAATTACCTGTTTTATGTTTTATTTATTTTCACTCGTTATTTTACTTGCATTAGGTTAAAATTTCTCTTATTTTTCTAACCTCTTGGAATAGCAACTTTTAGAATTGATTTTAGACCTTTATTTTCTTCTGTGAGTATTCAAAACCAAAAGTTTCTTTGGAAGTACTGATTTAGCTACATCCCACTAATTTTGATATGTTCTTTTTTCCTTTCCATTCATTTCAAAATATTTTTTCAGTATCCTTTATCATTTCATATTGATCTATTAGAAGTCTATTTAATTAGAAGTATGTCACTTAACTTTCAATATTTGGAGATTTTCTAGTTATGTTTTTGTTACTGATTTCTAAATTAATTTCATTATAGTTAGCTAGTATATTCTTTTAATTTCAACCCTCTTAAGTTCATTGAGCCTTGGTTTATGGCCTATCACATTGACTTATTACACATTCCATATACAACTGAAAGAAATGTGTTATTCTGTTGTTACTCAGTGTAGTGTTCTATAAATGTCAGTTAACTTGAGTTATTTGGTGATTTTGTTTAAGTGCTCTGTATTCTTACTTTCTGCGTGTTCTATTAATTACTGAGAGAGGAACATTGAAATCCCCAACTATAAATATGTATTTTTATGTTTTGCTTTTTAGTTTTTTGGTCCTGATGGTTTCATGTATTTTGACATTTCTTTTGAATGTGTAAGCACTAATAATTTTGTATCGTCTCGATCACATGATCCTTTTATGATAAGCAAGTGTACCTCCGTACCCCCATAGTACTGGGGATTGAACCCAGGGGCTTGTGCACACTAGGCAAACACTCTACCATTGATATATATCCCCATTCCCCCCCCACCTTTTGTTTTTCTTTTGTGGTAGTAGAAATTGAACTCAGGAATGCTCTACCACTGAGCTACATTCCCAGTCCTTTTTATTTTGAGACAGGGTCTCACTAAGTTGCCCAGGCTGGCCTCAAACTTGTGATCCCTCTATCTTAACCTCTCGGGTAGCTGAGATTACAGGCATGCATCACCA